CTGGAATTTTTTGGTTGAGAATGCAGCTTTCACATTGCAAATCAACTCCTGGTCCATGGGCTGGATTAATGACGTAGTGTTGGGAGGAAGGAAGACCACTTTTACGTTGGGGTGACGATCTAACAGTAGGGGCGAGTGTCCTGGTGCGTTGTCCAGCAGCAACAAAATATTGAATGGCACATTCTGTCGCTCACAGAATTTTTTTACATCGGGAACAAAACAGTCATCAAACCAGGAGAGGGACAGTGTAGAGAACATCCACGCCTTACGTGCGGTCAGCCAGTGGACATTTAGCTTGGTCATGTCCATGGTTTTGTAGGCGTGCGGCTTGCGTGCTGTGTGGATCACCGATAACTTGAGCTTACAGGTACCGGAGGCATTGGTGGTAAACAGGACGGTGATGCGTTCCTTCTGCATTTTCCGGCCCCGAATCCTGCTGGCATTCTTCACAACGAAGGACTTGGAAGGTAGCTTTTTCCAGAAAAGACCAGATTCGTCCATGTTAAACACCTGGTCGTCACTGTACTGTCCTTCCTCCATAATCTCACGTAAAAACGGAGGAAATTCCCGAGCCGCAGCACGATCAGCACTCGCTTCTTCACCACCAATGTTTATATTGGTGATCTTGTTCCGGATCTTAAACCTCTGTAACCACCCAGAGGAAGCATTAAAGGGTTTGGGCTCTGTAATTCCCATCTTTCGTGCCACTGCCATGTACAGTTCACGTGCGTAGTCCTTAACAGAGCGCGTGTCGACCGCCATGTTCCGTCGCGCCTGACGCACCAAGTACCTCACAAGTAATTTTTCTGTCTTGAGAAGCACCTGGTTGTGAAAATACTTGATCATAGAAGCACCTGTAGACTTTGTGATCTTCATGTGCTCCTTTATCTTGGCTGAATCCTTCTTTATAGTCCGTATCGTAGATTCGTTCACACCATGCTGGCGCGCCAAATCAACCTGCCTTGTTCCTTTCTCCAACTCTTGGATGATGGTATACTTCACCTCGTAGCTTAAGGAACGTCGTGTCTTCTTTGGTTTAGTGCCGCTGGGTCCAGGTAAGGTAAGGTTTCTCTCTGGGGGTGGTGGTCCGGCGGAAGCCATTTTACGGAACAATGGATGCGCGTTTACACGGAGTGGCCTTGAGGGATGAAAATGCCGCGGCTAGGTCAAGCGTCGTCTTTCCTCCCTCCCTCCCTCCCTCCCCCGGGTGGACACGTCATAATACTTTAAGCCAATTACAGCTAGCAGCAGAGGGGGGTAGGGATGCATGGCCAATCACAGGTCTGATACGTCATATGACGTCAGTGATAACGCAACAAAGACACACCGAGGACAGGATCGGAGAAACTGCTGACAGGTTCAAGGTATCCAATGATGCAGTGGCTCACATCGCAAACACCATCAGAGCTGCAGACAACATCATAACTGAAGGGGACAAGTCTAAAGTGACTAACTGGAAGAAAGTGGAGAGACGTATGTGGTGACTTGCAGCAAAAATATCGGCATAATTTGTAGCGCATTGAGTTGTAAAACAATAGCATATTATGAACCAGTGTACACAGTAGTCGAATAATCCAATTCAATAACTTGATTTTAACAGGTTGTGCCACATTGCCAGTCCCTTTATTATTTACAGTTTTTTCGCGTTTTTCATGCCAAACCCAAAAGTATCCACAAACCTTCTAATGCAATGATGTAAAAAAACTCAAACATATTCGGAATTAGCGTGGCCGATAGACAAATAATCCAACCCAAGCAATTAGATTTTGAAAACTTTTGCCAAACTGTCACTCCCTAAGGGCCAGTAATCTGCCCTCTGCCTCGGAACCAGCCTCCATCCCCGTATGCCGACCCATCTCTTCTACTACCGTAAGTGTTCCACATAATTTTTAGTTTTCTAACCTTACCTTTATTTTTCCTATGTTAACCTTTATCTTTCCTAACCTAACCTCTTCTACATTACTTGTTTTTTTATACCATCATAAAGTTAAGATAAAATTTTTACTGCAACATAGTTATGTGTCGTCAAAAAGTGGAGTTTGGGGATCGGCCTGGACTCCATTTCAATTAATCCCATATGTTATGTTGTTCACTTTACGCGTTCCTCACTTTCCGCGGTACCCTCCGGGTTACATTAACCGCGTAATGTGAGAGAACTGTATATATATATATATATATATATATATATATATATATATATATATATATATATATATATATATATATATATATATATATATATATATATATATATATATATATATATATATATATATATATATATATATATATATATATATATATATATATATATATATATATATATATATATATATATATATATATATATATATATATATATATATATATATATAATCTACAGCGCCTCGGTTAACGAGATTTCGGTTAACGATTTACCTTCCATAAGATTCTTAACTTCTGTTAACGAGCAATCCCTCGATTAACGAGTTTTTTACGAGCCAACTTCAACATGTTTTCGCTTGCATTTGGCAGTCCACCAGCTGTAGTGTTAGTCCGCCAATACAGTAATCGGTTTTAGGGCTTAAATTCTTTACTATTTTAGTAAATATCAAAAAGTTTATAATATTCAATAATTTTAAAAGTTTAATATTAACTTTTTTAGTCATTTTAACAATTATTGAACATAATTGAAGGTAAAGAAACTAGTTCCAGCCTGTTAACACACCAGGTAACATCTTGCTTGAGACTCTCTTCAAGTAAACGCTTTTTTTGTGTTTCCATGCAAATTATTGGTCATTTTGAAATTTATTTTACATATTGACAATATATAATGCAGTGCAGTGTTGATTTAAAGAAAATAATCTTGAATTACACCAAGAGAACTAAAATTTTATGGGTGAAATGGTGCCATGGGGTGACTTCTCTTCCACCCCAATGCCTTCTCTTCTCCCTTCTCCTCCACCCCCATTCTAATTTCAATTATCATCATCATCATCCAGGAGCCTTCTTCATACACACACCTCAAAGTAAGTGTACTTTTCTACCTTTTTTGTTGAATTTAGGCAATTTTCGGTGAGCTGGAACCAAATACCCAAAAACCCATTGAAACAATGGTTTTGGTTAACGAGTTTTTCGGTTTACGAGCAACCTGCTGGAACGGATTGTGCTCGTTAACCGAGGGACCACTGTATATAAAAACTTAGGAATTTTGAAACCATCTTATTCTCACTGCTTTGACATAGATCTGTTAATCGCTAGGACAATATTATTAAACAAAATAAAAAACAGTAGAAAAAAAATTATATATATACAGTATTACCCCGCTTAACGCGCTTTCACGTCACGCGTTTTCGCATATACGCGGTGCCTTGCCAAAGCTGAACTTTCACTTAACGCGGCATTTTTCATCATATACGCGGTGAGTGTCCGGCTCGAGAGCTATTTTTAGATTCGCACCACCCCCCACCCGCCACCCTGCCTGTTTTAGCTCATAAAATTCATACAAATTACCCGGCCAGAATATAATTTACATTGCTGGAATTCTTATAATTTGGTGATCATTTTGAATATAAACAACATATATTTTGCATTAAACATACAATTTTTAGATAAAAATATTTCTCTAGGTAACTATGTTATCTTTTGTCCAAAATATATGACATTTATATTCAAAATATTCCTGGTCTTACAAGGAATCCAGCAATGTCAATTATATTATCCTAACTTTAGTTTGAGGTATTATTTATTAAAATTTAGTGGTTATCCCACACATCTCCTTGGGACGGTTGGTGGGGGGTGGGGGGTGGGGGGGAGGGAGGGACCGACCGACCGACCATCTGTTACCCAGTGAAGAATTATTTTTTTTTTTATTAACTGAAGATATTTGTTTTAGCTCATAAAATTCATACAAATTACCCGGTCAGAATATAATTTACATTGCTGGAATTCTTATAATTTGGTGATCATTTTGAATATAAACAACATATATTTTGCATTAAACATACAATTTTTAGATAAAAATTGTTCTCTAGGTAATTATGTTATCTTTTGTCCAAAATATATGACATTTATATTCAAAATATTCCTGGTCTTACAAGGAATCCAGCAATGTCAATTATATTATCCTAACTTTAATCTGAGGTATTATTTAATACTAAATGTTAAAAACTCTTGAATGGAGGATTGGTGGGGGGTGGGGGGAGGGTTGGGACTGACCACGCGGTTGGAAGAGGGGGGGAAGGCAAGGTGGGGTACTTTGATTGACAGATAGTGTCGAAGAATATATATTTTTTTTTATTAAGTGAAGATATTTGTTTTAGCTCATAAAATTCATACAAATTATCCGGCAAGAATATAATTTACATTGCTGGAATTCTTACAATTTGCTGATCATTTTGAATATAAACATCATAGATTTTGCATTAGACATACAAATTTTAGATGTAAAGTTTATTCTGAGTAAATATGTTATCTTTTGTGAAAAATATATGACATTTATATTCAAAATATTCCTGGTCTTACAAGGAATCCAGCAATGTCAATTATATTATCCTAACTTTAGTTTGAGGAATTATTTATTACTATACCTGGTTTTCCCCCAAAAATTTCTCAGAGGGAAGAGCCAGTGAGTGTAGTGTGAGAAGAGGGGGAGGGAGTTGAGTCCATTATTTGAATGGACATTAACTTGGCGACTGTATTTCTCTATTTCTCTTAAGTATTAATTGTGTGCATGTACCATCATAAAATTAAGATGTTATTTTTACTACAACATAGTTATTTGTCGTCAAAAAGTGGAGTTTGGGGGTCGGGCTGGGTTCTATTGGAATTAATCCCATATGTTCTGTTATTCACTTAACGCGGTTTTCACTTAACGCGGGACCCTCTGGGTTCAATTGACCGCGTTAAGTGGGGTACAACTGTATATATATATATATATATATATATATATATATATATATATATATATATATATATATATATATATATATATATATATATATATATATATATATATATATATATATATATATATATAAATAGATAGTATAAATTACAAAAATATCAAATGGCTGACACTAAAAAACCCAACACACATATACATACAAAAGTAATTGATATGTAAAAATAATTGACAAACTAATGTACTTGAGAACTGAAGTACTCCATATATGGCAATGTGCTCGGTAATCCTTGTTTTTCTTACCTAGAAGAGCTAATGTTGTCCCTCGAGTACTGGTGGCCAAGACCTAGTCAAGTGGGGGTGGTGGCAAAAGCTGGCTGATGGTGAAGGAAACATGAAGGTAGAAAGAAGGTACAAGTAAGAGGATGAGGATCCAAGAGTGATGATTCAAGAAGAAAGATTTAAGAGTGAAGATCTAAAAGAGAAGTTTCAAGGGTGAAGAATGTAAAGACCAGGTCAAGTTAAAATACAGCCACTATAAATGTCTGCATGTCTATTACCTGTCTACTACTGGACAAATATTCGTTTTACCTTACACAAAAGTATCTTCAAACAACAATGCTATTTTGGGCATAAATGGAAATACTAAACTAATGTAATTATCAACATATATACAGTATACAGTACTACATATAAATAAATAAAATACTTATACAGTAGACCCTTGTTATTCGTGAGGGATAGGTTCCAAGGAATGGTGTGGATTGGCAAAACCGTGCATAGCAACTTATACGAACCCTCTTTTAACTTATCTAATAATACAACTTTCTTTGTCAGGGTCATCACTCGCACTGACACTAGGCAGTCTTTTAGGGGCCATTTCACACTGAAACACTAAAGTTTTGAGAGTAGAACACGAAATGCTGCGTGGGGTGACTTGTGCTGCAGGAAAAGGCTTGCAAGCTAGCCACCATCTGCTTACCACGAATCATTGAAATCGCAAACTCGTGAATGGCAAGGGTCTATTGTACTCTCATAAAACTTTGCAGTACCCCTCAAAATATGTGGAAGTCAACTCTTTCTAAAGAGGAAGATATTTTGTTTGAATAAATGGATCACATTGACAAGGTCCTTAATACATGCACTGGTGATTTTGTAATGGGTTGAATTTAACACTGTAAAAAAATTCAAATACTTTGATCTTAAAATTTCTAATATATTAAACAGATGAATAATTTATAGATGCCAATCATCTAAAGCTAACTGAACGAACCTCTAACAGTGAGTCTAAACTCATTGTGTTGGCTCAAGTGTTCCCGACCAGCCACAGTTTAAAAATCTAAGGGTTCTGTTCATATAAACAATCATAATATGAAAATATCACAAATTACTGAGAAGTTGGGCAACGTCAAAAACTGCACCAAGGTGCAAAATCCAACGTTTGTTGTTGTTCATTTGCTATGAGCTTTACATGTGGATTCATAATTTTGTAATATTTCAATGAACAGTACAGTCGAAGACAAAAGTTCGCTCCCCGTAGTGAAACTGAGTCATGGGAATGAGTCTCTGAACTGATTGCTTCATTTTGGGTGGGAGTGAACTGTACCTCAAATCGAAGCTATACATCAAATTACAGTACTGTAGATGCATATTAAAAAAAATTCCCTTTGAGGCTTTCACTATACAGTACACAACAAATAAAACCATGTGGAACATGGGATCAACTTGTCGAAAGGATCACATTTCAACTATAAAGAATATTACAAGTATAGAATACAATAATGTGCAATGGTAATTTATAACTACTGTACACCTTAATTACTAGACATGTCCAGCCAGTTAGCTGATCTCGTACAGTAGGTACTTCTTCATAATCACTGGTAATTCCAGTTCATCGATTCTAGTGGGTAGCTTCTCTGCGAGCTCTTGACGCAGGAACACTCGCACTAAGTGCTTCAGAGGCAGGGGTGACTGTCCCACCTGCAGGGTACCAATGGAGGAAATAATATTTATAACCAGGAAATAAATTAGGACTGGAAGACAAATTTTATAATTACTACAACTATGTTCTTAATTTCTAAGACTAAATTTAATGTTATTCCTCTTTACAGAATTTTGCAAAATGAATTACATGAAAAATGCAATAAGAAATGTAAATATATCTTAGTGCTTTCTATATTAAAAAAAAAGCAGTGAGAAAGTTCACTAATTTCAAGAAGATAATGAAAGGAATAACTGTAACTTGAGATATATCTTTCGCTGATCATTGTCAATCAATGATGAATGTTTAATAATAGAAAGGTCAAATCGCTGTGTTGCCTCCAGAAGTGTGATAAGAACATCTGGCGTCTTGGTGAGATTGGGGAGACAATTCAAGAGGCCGCGGGGATCTCTGTTTTGACTCTGCATCACAACCTGATGGAACAAATAATACACTGTTAGTGACGTCGTTCCGCTTAACTTTGTTTCGGTACTACGTCGCTAAACTGTAGAGACCAAAAATTTGTTTAACGTCCCGGGGATCCGATACCACGTCGTTTTGTGTCGTCATGGAATACTTTCTACGGCGCATCACCCACTCTTGTCTGGCTGCACTACGCTCTCTCGGCTCGGAGTGCTGCCCTCACTCGTGGAACGTCACAGCCTCCCCAAGCGATGTCAAGCCAGTCCCTGTTACGACTTCACATCATTCGTGTGTGCTCAAGTGTTTTTACTCTAAAACTGTACTATAACCATTCGAAATGGCTTCCAAGCGCCCATCAAGTGCTACAGATACTAATGCAGTGAAGAGGCAATGTAAGACCATTACCCTTGCAATGAAAATGAATGTATTAAGCCGATTTGAAAAAGGGAAACGCGTTGTGGACATAGCCGCTATGCTTGGGTACGATCTGGACCAACGTTGACAAGATTAAGGTTAGTGCTGGAAGAGGTACTACTCTCAGTGCAACCAAAACAACTCGTACTAGAAGTACTGTGATAGAAAAAGTGGAAAAGATGCTGGCTATGTGGATGGAGAACCAGAATCAACGCAATGCGCCTTTGAGCCTTTTGGTTATCCAGCATAAGGCCGCATCCTTGTTTGACGACGTAAAAGAAGAAGAGGTTGAAGGATCGAAGGAAGTGGCTGGTTTCAACGATTTAAACGCAGGTATACCTTCCACAATATTAAGATGATTGGTGAAGCTGCCAGTTCAATGGTTGCTGCAGAGACATACATTCCCGCCAGCATTCAAACTCTTAACGCTGCTGCTTGGCGCGAATGCTGCCGGCGAATCAAGCTGAAGCCGATGTTAATTTCTCGCGCTGCTAACCCACGGGCCCTGAAAGGTTACTCTAAGGATCACCTTCCTGTCATTTACAAGGCAAACAAAAAGGCATGGATAACCGGCGCCATATTTAGCCAGTGGTTAAACTTGTACGCCGTCCCTGCAATGAAGGAATAATGTGTCAAGGAGAACCTTGACTTCAAAATTCATCTGATAGTTGACAATGCTCCAGCTCATCCTCCCAATCTCAACGACTTGCATGACAGTGTAGAAGTTGTATTTCTGCCGCCCAACACGAGAGCACTGATGCAGCCTATGGACCAAGGCGTCATCACCGCATTCAAGGCGTATTATTTACGCCGTACCATGGCCCAGCTGCTCAAGGTTTCATACGGAGAAAATAAACCCACATGGCTTCAACTTTCTTCATGTGGTAATGATTATTTATCAGACCACTGCTTAAAGCCCAGAGAAATAAAACACATATAACAGTAAGTTATATGTGTTTCTCTGGACGCGTTTGTTCGTTGCAGGAAGGCAGAAGCAGGAGGAGGAGCACAAAGCAGCCGAGGAGCACAGAGCAGCCAAGGAGGAGCAAACGGTGGCGGAAGAACCCCAGTCAGTGCAGGAGGAGGAGGTAGCCACAGAGTCTCGGTGACTCACCACAGACACATCTGACAAGTTGGTAACGCTGTACCCATACCGGAACACTCAGCACGTAAACTTTGTGATCAACCCTTAAAGCATACACTTGAACACTATATTATTGAATGTGACACTGTCAAAGACTTCAGGCCACCTGGCTTATTGCATCATGAACTTTGTAATTACTATATTGAATCGGGGGTGCTTGGGGACATTCTTGCTGTTTATCCCAAATTTGCTAGCCCACACTAATTAGTCTTCAATTAGAATATGACGTCCAATGTATATGAACCACTGTCTTGCATGGCAGCAAACAGTGTATGAACCTCTGTCTTGCATGGCAGTGAACAGTGACATGCACCGAAAAGTACATACAAAGTAAAAAAAAATGCAGTAAAGTACACTTACTTTGAGGTCTCTTGAACACAGAGTATTTTTACGTTTTTACAGTACAATTATTGGTCACTCTGAAATTTATTTAACATATTGATAATATATAGCATAGTGCAGTGTTGATTTAAAGAAAACAATCTTGAATTACACCTAGTGAGCTTAAAATTTTATTGGTGAAATGACTGCATCAAGCATGAGTCCCCTGGAAGGTGATTTCTCCTCCATCCCCTCTTCCTTCTCTTCTCCCTTCTCCTCCACCCCCACTTCTAATTCCCATCATCATCAACCAGGAACCTTTTACATACACACCTCAAAGTAAGTGTACTTTACTGCATTTTTTTTTTACTTTGTAAGTACTTTTTGGTGAGCTGGAACCAATTACCCAATATCCCATTAAATTACCGTATATACTCGTGTATAGTTCGAGTTTTTAAGACCAAATTTTTAGGCAAAAAATTGGGGGTCGTCCTATACATGCGTAATAGTTTTGTTAGGTTGAACCCGTGCATGATGGGAAGGGCGAGGAGCAACTTTTAGCTTCAGACATGAAAAATATTTACCATTTACAGCCAGTAAACAATGGAAATGTAAAATATGTACCAATTAGTAATGAAAAGTTGTGCAGTTCCTTCAGTAAATGAAGCTTACCAACTTACAATAGGCTAAATTACCTTACAACATGCTTTCAGTAGTCTATGTTGAAGTTCTTAGCACAGGCTAACTTATCATATTATATACGGTATCACAGTTCTCATTGATCTACAAAAAATACCGGTATTAAAAACCTTTTTGATATTTCACACTTAATATAATACCCGGCAATCTACTTCAACCTCCTATTGTTTACAACGACGCATGACGCATCACGCACCACCAGCTGTATCAGCTAGACGGTACACGTGTTTATCGAATCATTTTCAGTTAAAAAACTGTTACATCACATGTATATTTTACCTTAACTGTGCCTGAATGAATATATTCTCGGAAATAAATAGTAGTTTTGCTGAAACGTGATGTATTTTAATGAAAAATAGGGTAAAATACATGACGAAAACAAAAGATTTTACCTAACCTTCCGATGTTCAAGAGAAGTTACTCGTTTTTTAATAGTTTTTGGTTAAAATATTGTTATATTACAATGGTATTCTATTCATACTGTGCTTGATATAATGCAATCACGGAAATGTAATATTTTTGCTGAAATGACGTACGTATTACAGTGGAAAGTGGGATAAAATCGTGACGAAAGCAATGACTTTCGCTTTCTTTCGTTCAAAAGATGTTACCGTAATCGCTTTTTGACTGGTTTAGTTAAAAAACTGTTGTATTACAATAATATTCCCTCCTAATTGACTTGAATAAATACTTGAATGGAAATATACAATATTTTTGTTGAAACTACCCGCGTTTCAGTGTAAAGTGTCGTAATAATAAATGGTAAACAATTTGCCTTCGGCACTCGTGTTTCATGCACGGCGAGCCTCAGTTTATAGGACGTAAGAGCGTTTTTACTGAAGGTTTTGTTGTTCCATTACCCTCAAAAACGTGGGTGAACTATAAACGAGGAATATCATAAATTAACGATTTCTTGGTCAAAAAATCAGGGTCGACAGATAAACGAGGGGGGGTTTATAGATGAGGCACACGGGTAATTCGGGTTAATCTAATCCATCTTCCTGAACAAATTGTGTTCGGTTAACTAATATATATATATATATATATATATATATATATATATATATATATATATATATATATATATATATATATATATATATATATATATATATATATATATATATATATATTTGTAGTGTTGAGGGAATATAAGTGTTCAAATTTTACAGTGTGTCTCATTCATCCCAGTCACAGACGCTTATCCTTCCACGGGTCATGACAATTCATTTTGTTTAGTAGATTTAAATGTTTTGTGTTGGTTCGATTTTTTCAAAGGCGCTCTTAATTACCATCTATTAATCTTTAATAAACCTCAAGTCAAGGAGAAAATAAAGTCCAGCAATTCCCGACCGGTTATATATATATATATATATATATATATATATATATATATATATATATATATATATATATATATATATATATATATATATATATATATATATATATATATATATATATATATATATATATATATATATATATATATATATATATATACATTCCAGAACTCTCGATTTCACGACTGCCATGGACTTCACGCCTAATTTGGCCGACTTACTAATCGCCCTGGTATAAGCAGATAATAAAAAAAAAAAAAAAATTTTAAATGAGACACACGATTTTCTATAACGTAACGTTTCCAGTTAA